ATAATATTTTTCATATATATAACTACTAATTTATAATAAATTTCATATATTAAATATCTCTCACTCATTTTTACTTTAATATTTCATTATAGATTAAAAAATATATATGCAGTAACTATAGTTGAGCGATTTCAAAGACAAATTTTAAAGTTTAAAGTTTAAACCGCAATTAACGAAAAGAGCCATACAAAATGATACGAATCGATACAATTTTAATAGATTAAACAGTATTTTAGACCGTCCTAATTTCCACTATCTTCTGATTCTGATCTCCTAATTTCCACTTTTTTTTTTTTTTTTTTCCAACAAAAAAAGTACTCTCCTATTTTTCATGTGTGGTCAAAATGTGAAACAAACATTCATGCCATCATCCACCATTCAAAGGCAAAAGTAAATTCTATTGTTGACAATCCCAATCAAAATAAAACTTCTCCACCCATAATATTTTTTAAATCACTCTTTTTATCATCCCTATAATGAATGAATTAAGTGCATGGTTGGTGACAAGCCATCTCAGTGAGAGACTTCTCATGGAACTTATTAAAGATCATCATGATTCTTACTTCTGGGGAAAAAAGCCCAAGTATTCAGAAATTATTGACAACGACATTTGCAATAAAATAATATTATTAAAAATATATATATAGGAAAGTGCTATTCTAACACAACTTAATGACCCGAATACACAAGCCAAAATGATCATAGCAGAGTTCTGGCTTATCAATTACAAAAACATGGACTTGAATTCTTGTGTGACGTTTTCATGGATCATTTTCCTTGAAAGATTGGATGCCTTCACATATTTAAATCACTAACACACAAACTATGGAGACAAATGGACATTAAATTTTCATAAAATTGTACAAATAGAAAAAGCATGCACCAAGAAGTATATGAAATTCAACACAAGTACTTGGGGACTTGTGACAATCACATCTTGATTGTGATAGATAATTTTCATTCTCCTCGAATGAATGACCGAAGGCAACCAATCATTTAACATACATTGGAGAAAGAGAAATGTTTGGGATCTCTTTTTGAGAGTTTCATGACTCTCAATTTAATCTTGGCCCTTAATATGTGTGTGGGGTCAACTCATGTATATGTAGGCCGCACGCTATGAATGGGTTTGATAAGAGTAGGAGTTGTGATGGTTATGTATGTGTAGGGGTATCTATCACAATTGTTGGAGAAATGATATTTGCAAATAATAAACTCCCATCGTCATGCACCAGTTGCATATAAACGGGTCCATTCCTTCGCTGCACAAGTCCAATTAAATAATAATAATAATAATAATAATAATAAAATAATTTACCTGTCATATCTTGTAAAGAGGAACCTCACAAAAGCAGAATTATAAATGTGAGATGGGTAAATTTTTATCAACCTTTTTATGAGGGGGAAAAGAAAGCATTACTCTATATGATGCCACTCTATTAAAAAAGATGACCAACATCTCTATTAAAATCAACAACTCAAATACAAGAATGGAGGGCATTATTACCTGTTTCAACAGCTTCAGCTTCATTGGACTTCCAATGTTTTGCAATGTTCTCAGAAAGAGGATCATCTGGATTTGGAGCACTCAGGGGAGCTTGGATGATTCATGAAATAATAAAAGCAATATTTTGTGAACAAAACTTCAAATTTTGCTTCCAGGCCACGACACAAGAACTGCACCCATTAAAATATCATATTCACTTGTATGCTTATGCCATATGAATTAGATTATACCTGTAAACTGTAAGTTTTAGCAGAAATAGTCTTTATTACATTTACGCTGTGTTTGGTTGGAAGATTTGAGGAGAGATTTGGAGAGAGAAAGGAAAAAGTTAGGTGAAATGTGAATAAAATATACTTACATTTCATCTAATTTCACGCACCTTTTCCATTTTCCTTTCCAATTTTCTCTCTAAATCCCTTAACCAAACGCAATATTAAGGAAAAGCAAAAGCAACTTCAACGCAAATAAAACATGTATAGCTTCACTAATGGAGGACGAGTATATGACCTCAGCAAAACAGTCCGTATCTGGAGGGCTGGGCTCCATTTATCTTTGAGAATATCCAGGCATATCCTACCCAGCTGCAAAATGACCTCCCATCTGAGAACAAGAATAATGAGACATGAAGGGATGAAAGAGAGTGAATGCTACTTGCCTTATCAATGTTAGGATGGTATATTTTGGTCAGAAAGCGAACCTGTAAAGTGGAAAAACAATTAACAGAAATAAAGTGGGATCAACGTAAAACCACAAAATTGAAAAGCCAAAAATAATTAGCGAGGAAAAAAAATTGCTCAGTATCTGCCAAATATTTAACTACACAAAAGGAGGCATACATTGATGCTGATTAGAGGATTTGAGGAGGGATTTGAAACGGGAAATGGAAAAGTTCGGTGAAATGTGAATAAAATAACATTTCACTTAGTTTCACATACTTTTTCCCTTTTCCTTTCTAAATTTTTTCCCTTTTCCTTTCTAAATCCCTCCTTAAATCCCTCAACCAACCACAACATGAAGGAGAAAGTGCATGAAATAAAGCAGATTCAAAACTTATACTAAAAAAGCTCTCCCCAACTACAATAGAAAAAAGGATTAATGTTTGACAGATTAATGCTTGACATAAAAAGAAAATAAGTTCCTCAACCATGACCGCGGTTAAACATCATAAGAAAAAAAGAAAAGACAGCAACTGGGAAATGAAAACATGGTGCAGCTGAACATTCATGTTTACATGTACTAAACCCTGTCAGAAAATAATAATATAAGACAATAAAGATCTATCACAATACTAAAGCCGCGTTGGTTTCAGGTGGACTGGGAAAGTGAATCATGAGTTCTACTCGGGCGACCACTTAACTTTTTCTCTGCATTCTGAAGTTAAAATCAAGATAAAAAATCAACGTTGAGATATATATATATATATATATCCACCCCAAAAAAGAAGACAGGATTTCTCACAACAATTCTCAGATGTCCACAAGTCACACGAGTCTGCAGAGAAAATAGGCTCTGCTGCTCAGGCATAATTTTTTAACAGCGCTACTTAATGAAAGAATTGATTTTTCCTGTTACCAAAAATAAAAAATAAAAAATTGGCTCTATTTCATACTTGGGAAAGTTGAATCTCCAAAATATTATTGGGTGCAACCTTAATGGTCAATATCCCTCAGCGCATTTGACATCCATATAGGTTGACCTGAGAGGAGAGGATGACATGAAGATAACACATCCTGAAGATACATAATTCAAACAAGTTGATATGGGACTTGCAAGATAACACATCCTGAAGATAACGATAAATTGATGATTTTGATTGCTATGTTCAAGTTATTAACGACCTGTTTGTTTGGGTGGAAAATATTTTCTGTAGAAAATTTTTTCCAAAAAATATTTTTTGGAGAAAACATTTTTCTATGTTTGGTGGTGGTGGAACAAAGGTGGTGGCGGTGGCGGCGGCGGCGATGGCAACGGTGATAATGGCGGTGGTGGTGGTTGTGGTGATAGTGGTGTGGTGGTGGTGACAATTTTGATAGTAGTTTTATTTTGAAAAACGTTTTCTGCCTTTTAAAAGTGAAAAACATTTTCTACTCAAATATATTTGTTTTCCATTGACCATGAAAAATATTTTTCGCTGACTTTCATTTTTCATTGTACCTTCATTTTCTATTGCACCAAACACTCGAAAATATGGAAAACATTATCATTAGGATCTATTAAATAATCTTGTTTTAAATTTAATAGGATAACTAAATACATGTTTTTAAGGTTTTAAGAAGCCTACATATAGGTCTTAATCTCCCTCTCCTGTCATCTTCTCTCTCTTTCTCTCTCTGTCCTCATCTGGTTGCTTTTTTTCTCTTTTGGTTTCTCTCTCTTCTTCATCTCCTATATCTTCACTCCATATTCTCTATCTACCCGTATATTCATCTATCCCTCATCTCTTCTATCTTTATCTCATGCTAAAAGAACAAATCAACATATTTATTTGCCCCACAGAGTGTTTGATGGAAAAAAAGTGTCATGAGAGGTCGTTGTACATCAATTTGGTATAGAGCAAAAGATATTTTGAAAAAACAAAGTTCATATAAAAAAAATCCTTCTCTACATTGAAGATTAACAAAACTCGAGGTTGAGTTTTCTCCAACAAGAGAGGATTGATGCAATCAGGTTGACTAATATGTCAAAAAAGATAATGATAATGATAATGATAATGATAATGTTGATTGATATGTTTAAGTTGTTTAAGTATTGTTAGGAAGATAATGATAATGATAATGTTGATATGTTTAAGTTATTTAAGTATTGTTAGGAGTTTATTAAATAATCTTCTTGTATTTTCATTTATTAAGTGATAGAATGTTAGTGATATTAGGTTACTATGTTAGGTAGGTGGTGTAGGAAGAACAAGGGCCACACCCCTAACACAACAACAACAGTCTTAAACATTTCATGAGAGGTTGTTTGGGGTGTCTTAAATAAGTGTACTTTTTATTTTTTTGGATTAAGAAATTGAGGAAAAAAAATATGGATGTTTGAGTTAAATTTTTGACTTTTTATGGAAAAATGTGTAATAAAAAATTGTAAAAATTAGTTTGTAGGGGAAAATTAGAATTGGGAGTTGTGCAGCCGTAATTGTTGACTTTTGGTGAATATTGATAACTTTTTAACTTTTTGAGTAACTTTTTGACTTTTTAGCTTTTTTGAGACTTCCTAAACTTGGCCTAAGTGTCACGTCACGTTACGTTTATGTAGGATCTTGTGGAATTCATTGCTATCTAAATAGGACTTGAGACTCTATAATAAATTACACAGGACTTAGCCTAGCATAAGTGTCTGAAAAAGGACTTATAAATAAGTCTCCATTTTTTAATTTATTTTCAATTAAACCATTCACCTATTTTCGTTGAGAAACATTGATAGGAAAAAAAATATTTTAGTCATTAAACTCAATATAAGTGTACATATAATGTCTAATATATATATATATATATATTGTATAGTTTAATTACTAAAATACATATTTTTCTTCAATTTTACTTAATCGAAATAGACAGATGGCTTAGATTGAAAACAAATAAAAAATTTATGATTTAAATTGACAAAATTAAAATTTTATTTTATTATAAGGATCAAATTCTAAAAATTTTAATTTTAATTTTGGTAACCTCTCCTTGTTTTGTTTCGAGATTTTCATATTAGGTACTTGAAAATGTATTATAGACAACGGAACATGAATTATTTTTATTATTTTTTGATATATTGGAGGGGGGGGGGGGGGGGAGAGAATCAAACTCATAACCTCACAATAAAATACATGAGTTCAATTAAACTAACTTGAATGGTTGATAATAATAAAAAAAACATGAATTATGAGGAAATAAGTTATGTCCTTCATATGCTTTTATCTTGGTTTGGTCAATCCATTTTATATGGGGACAATTACCAATTAATCCTATAGAATGAACTTATCTGTTGATACTCCTAAATGATTTTATTTATTTTTTTTATTTTTTTAACTATTTGTCCATTATTTTTGTTAATGGGAAAATTTTGAGAATTTTGAGATATATTTTGTGTGTATCATGATCATTTGATACTTCTAATGCTATTTTTATCAAAATAATAAATAATTATGACATTAATCGCCAGTATATTGAAATTAATAATAGAATAAAAAATTTAAAAAAAGAAAAAAGGAAAAAGAAGAAGAAGAGATAGATAGATGGACTTTCAGCATGTGTGGTGATGATCATCGTTTAACTCTTGGTCGTATCTAAAGGCTACCAATGGGCCCTAGAGATGATGACCCAACTAGCTATTTATTTATTTATTTTTTTTGTATTTCTTCTTTCTTATTCATTTATTTTTACTTGGTGAGAGAGTATTGATAAATAATAATAATTAAACTGGACCAGCCATAAGTCAAACACAAATAATCATTATTAAAAATAAAAATAAAAAAAGAAATTATGTAGAGAAGAAATAAACAACTAAACAAGATTGTTTAATAGGGAGTAAATAATTAATTTTTATTTTAAAAATAAATAAATTATATTGATCTATTTTAAGATTTGAAAAAACATAGTAGGCCATATAGTTTTAACGTTACTAAATTAACTTTCTTTTTAGTAAGGTTAAATAGACCAAAACTAATGTAATTGTTGTAAAAATATAAAAATAAATAACGTAAAGCATACATTTTTATGTAAAATAAATGACAATATTAGTTTGTAGGATTTATTATAATTTTTTAAAAAAAACTTTAAGAAGAGGTTAATATAATTTACAAAAAATAGAGAGCTAGGAAAGAGTAAAATAAAATTTGGAAAGGGTATGAACGAAGCGAAGTTTTCAAGAAAGTGGGGGGTTGGGGAGGGGTCCTAGCTTTGGGACAAAGCGATGGCCAGGAGGCGTTATGAAAGGATTTGTTATTCTTTTCATGCTAAAGTCAAACGGCCCAACCCTCCTAAAACGAGGCATTACAATTGCGACATATGTATATCATATTCTGGTTTGCCAATGTCTGTGAGGCCTGCCTATTTAAAGCCGTGTTTGATTGTCGGTACAAGGAAAAAAGATTAGATTAATAATTTATAAATTTCACATGGATCATGTTTAATTGTAAATCTTACACGGACAAAGAATTTTACACGGACTATAAATCTTTTAAATAGTGGGATTAGTATTTTCATGGCATATGAGACTTGCTAAAACTATCCTATAGGATTGGATGATAAAATATTATTTTACCTTCATTTTTCAAAAACAACAAAGGTGGATTTTTACATAATTTTTATAAATTTAATTTCAAACAACTAATAAGTGTTACCGATAACAAGCATCAAATTTCATTGAATCCTACTAACAAATTTTGAATTTTTAAATTTTCTTTTCTTTTGAACACCTACCTTAATACCAATTCTAACATCATCCATAACATTTGGAATCCTGACCATAGCCACTACCTCCACCTTCGGCATTGCCACTGCCATTGCCACCCACTCCTTACCCTCCCCCGCATCTCCACCACCTCTCATCCAATTCCCACCCTTTCTCACTGTACCCCAACCCCCCTCATCCTCTCTTAATGTCACTTAGTCCATTATTCTTCTTCCTTGACACCCTTAACCCCTTCTCTCTCCCACCCCCTCTATCCTCATCTTCTTCTCCTTTCCTACCTGAAAAACTCACTCAATTTGCTTGTGATTTCTCTTTGTCAAAATTTTATGATAAGGTGAAATTGTAATAAAAAAAAAAAAAAAAATCTATAAAAGAGCTAGGGACCTTAAATTAAAAAAAAAAAGTACTATTAATAGTATTATTGACTAATGCCACTGTACTATAAGCACAATCAATCTTGCATATCTAATTTAAGAAAAAATCATTACATTAATAATTTTATCACTCAATTTCACTATACATATAATCTTGATTAGTCCAACTGGCCAATCAAACATGAACTAAGAGACTTAGTGATTATGTCAAGTAGCCATCCTCAATTGAACACTAACTCAACATTAATTGCTCTTATTGGGATAACAAGTCTGCTTTATTTTCTTTGGTCATGTTGTGCCCTATGTAATAATGTTAGAAAATATTAATTAATATATTAATTAAGATATAAGCTATGTATGTATAATTTATCAATTGACGTGAGATCCGGTTAACATTATACTCAACTAAGATGTTTGTTAATATACTAATTAATATTATTAGTCTTATTAAGTTAGAGCATTGATAGAGACCTCCTCCAATTACCACCCCCACCACCCCCCACACACACGTGGCAGGTGGTGATTGGAGGAGAAGGGAAAAAAAAAAAGTAAAAGAAAAAATAGCCAATCAAAAAGAGAGAAGGTCAAAGGAAATGGGAAAAAGAGGGTCTCAAACATTAATAATTAAGGTATAAGCTAATCTAAACACTTTCAACGTAAAAATAGTAGGTAACAATGCTTTCGTTGTACTCAAAGGGCATGTATTTGTTATATATATATATTAGCGTAATGCTTCAAATGATATGATGTCATCATTTTATTATGAGAATGTGATCTTGAAATAAGAGGAGTCGTTACGCATTTTCTATTAAATATTACATATTTTTGTAATAAATGATACAAAAATATTTAATAAAATTATGATAATTTGTGATTCAAAACAAAATTAATGTCATATATTTTGGTAGTGCATTTTTTCTGTGGAGACATGACTTTGAGTTGTCCATGTGTCCTAGGTAGTTAGTAGAGGTGTCGCGTAGGTAATCCTGATTGGCCGAGCTGTGAATAGGTCACACCTATATTTGAGATATTTGGATGGAGGACTAGAGTCCTAGATAATGTTAGACTATCTGTTTGGGTAAGGTTGTACTCTTGAGAGTTAACTGTAATCCGAATTAGAGAAGAGAGTCCTATGAAGTAAAATTTTTAGGGAAAAGTGGATACTAAAAATTATATAAGGAAGGCACCATCGTGGGTTTAAGAAACACTTTAATTGAGAATTATTTGTTTGAGTTAATATATTTGAGAGATTATTGACTGACTTGATCTTTGGAGTTTCACCGAGTGGGTGAGCCATTGGTTTTGTTATCTTTTTGTGTGCATGTGTTGGACATCTTTATTCTTGCACATGCTCTATGACGTAGTTTCTAGAATCTTAGGAAAGAGATCTGATCTGATTGTGAGGTTATATTTCAACACACATAATTTGGCATCGTCTATCAGAACTTAGTCGAAATAGATGGCCAACATTGTGCAAGGTCAGAAGGACCAATGAATTGGAGATGATGACTAGTGAGAAAGAGGAACATGTCAACCTTCATATGGGTGATAAGTAGATTGTTGGGGATACCTAGGTAGAAGAAAACGGAGTGAACAATGCCACCAATGTTCAAAATCTAAGGATGCAGAATGGACTGAAGAGGGAGGCAAGAACACCCCCGAGAGGAATACAATAATGAGAGCAACTACCAAATTTGGAAAGATCATGTGACATGACAAGATGTAGAGATGAAGAACTTGGCTAGTAAAGTAGTGGAGTTGCAAGACATGATGAAAATTATGGTGCAAAATTAGGTCCAACAGCAGCATCGGCGCCCATTGTTATTAACAACGGTGCGAACAATGGAGTACAAACATTAGCACAATGCAGTAGTAGACAAACAATTTGCTCTCCTTAACAGTAACACCAGTGAAGGCAATTCCAAAAGACCTGTATCATCACATATAGAAGGATTAAGGGAGGTGAATAGATAATATCATTATGCCAAGAAGATGTTGGATCTCAATGCATCCAAGACTCCGAACCCCTATAGTGGGAGTAGTGCACCGAAGAGATTGAAGTCAGTGAATAACAAAGCAACTAGGTGATCTAAGGAGGATCTACGCAACCTCTTTCAAAATAAGAAAAACACAGTCAAGGTATCTTCCATTGATAAGCCGAGGACACCGTTCTCCAAGGAGCTGAAAGTGTTTGATCCACAAAAATGGTTTTCTATGCCAAAGTTTCATACATATGACGGTAAATCTGACCCTAATTTTCATATTGGTCTTTATTTTAATGCAATGTCATTGTTAGGTGGAAATGATCCATTGTTATGCAAGGTGTTCTTGGCAACATTAGGGGACATAGCATTAGATTGGTTCTTGAAATTGCCAAAGGGATCAGTGAAAAATTAGGACGGTATAGCCGAGATGTTTGTTAGCAAGTTTATCACTAACAATATTCAACCTTTGAGGGTTGACTCGGTATCTATGACGATGGATGTTGGTGAAAGCCTAAGAGCCTACGCCAAGCGATACTACAAGGTTTACAATCGAATTTCAGGTTGTAACCAAGAACTTACCATTGTCTTATTCAAGAACAACCAAGAAGAGAACAGCCCACTTCTGCAATCCTTGGCCAAGACTCTCTCGACATCAATGGAGAATCTAATAGCCAGGATTGAGAAGTATTGTAGTGTCCTGGAAAATTTTTCTTTATTGCTCGAGCGATGGATTATTCGCACAAGTGGTCTTTCGGGTCTTCCAGTACTTTTGTCTGCAGGCTAAATTTCAGGAAGTTCGCATTCTGCACTCGAGCGAAGGTTTCATCGCTCGAGCATTTTTGTGTCTCTAATGCTCGAGCGCAAGTTTCATCGCTTCGAGCGGTCTGTTTGAAATCAACATTTTAAAAAGTCACTTTTTGATCAAATCTAGATCATTTCTGTCTCTCTCTCTCTCTTGTCTCTCCTTCCTGAATTTCCGAAAGTCCTAAGCTCTCAAGCTTGAATTTTATCTCATTTTACTTAAAATCTCACCCTAGTTCCATATACCAAAATATAGAGGGCGACGAGAGCATCATTTTAACTTAAATGGATCATCTTTTCGTTGAAGTTGGATTTTAGGGATTTCTCTTTTCTTGCAAGAGGTATGGATTTATTTGCTCATTTTCAATGCTTCTTTATAAATAGACATGCGGTATATTTTTATTGCATAAAAAGCATGATTTAGTTATGTGATTTCGAAATTATAAAAAGGGGTTTTTGGTTTGAGCTTTGGAAAGTGAAATTGTATTTCTTTTGGGGGTTTCGATGTATTGGAAGTTTTATTATTTTGTTTATGTTGGGAATATAGAAAAATCCTAATTTTTATTATTAAAGGCTTAATAGATTGAAAAGGGATAAAGTTGAGTAATAAATGTTAATTTGTTAATTGCTAAAATGAAGTTAACCGAGATGTTAGGATTGTTTGATCGACATGAGTTGAGTTGGGATGTGGTTTTATTATCTATGGATTTGGATTTGTTAAAGGAAGAAAATGGATTTTTGGAACATTGTGAATTGGAAAACAACAGATTTAATTTTTGAAAAGAAATGAAATCAAACTTTTTATAAATTGAGAAATGAAAGGGGTTAATCTTCAGGCATATTATATGTTGTTGTTATTGGGCTTAATGTCTGATGAGAAGTGGTTATTGTATTAAGCGTATTGAATGTTTGTGTTTAGAGGTTTGTCATTAGTCATCGATAGAGGATGACATTGCTGTGTTGAATAGATTATGTGTACGTAGTACATTTGTGTTATTTGCGTGTTTAGCATGTTGTGATTGTTGATTATGTATACGCGCCGAGAATGAGAGGTACCATTACCTTCTAACTAATGCTTGGAGAATTAATCGTGTTTAGAATTAGAAGTACTGTTACCTTCCAGCTAACGCTTGTAGAAATTGGTAGAGGTACCATTACCTTCTAGTCGGTGTTTGGTAAATTGGTAGAGGTACCATTACCTTCCAGTATGTGTCTACTAAATTGGCATTCGTTATAGAAAGGTGTATCCTAGTTTATCGTGCTTAAGGCAGGTAAAGCATTGTTTCATTTCTCATTATGGTTTAGTGTATCTGTGTACATCATGTGTGGTAATGGTAATAGTAATGGTTATGGTTAGATGAGGTCAGGTTATCTTCTATGATTTGTGGAGTTGCCATTGCGTATATGCTATATTCTTTTTGTGATTAAATGTACATGTACGTACATTGGTGTATTGAACAAGTCGCTGAAAGTGTTTCTTTACCCTTGGGCTTAAGGTTAGGGAATCTGGTACACGTATCAATAGTAGGTGTATGTGATGAGTTGGAGGTGTAAAGTATGAGAAGTAATTGGGTTTTGTGAACATGTTTTTGGAAGCTAGTTGCTATTACATGTTACTTATGAAATAGGAAATAACAGAGAAAGTGAACATTTTGTGTGGTAGAATAAATTGGTTGATTTTGAAAAAAAAAGAAGAAGTACTTATATAAGTATACTTTGGTTATAAAATTGTCACATTATGTATATAGTATGATATGAAGCATTCTTAATCATAACTATCTGTACGTTGTTATTGTTTAGGATCATGTTGGAATCTTTACTGGACTTTATATTTATTCCACGTTGCTAATTTCTTATTTATTTATTTATTATTATTATTATTATTATTATTATTAGGTGTATGTTGAGAAATGGCTCAAGATTGAGGATCTTCTTATCTATTGGTCACAAGGCCTATTATTTGTTGGCGGAACACTA